CTGTAAAGAATCATTGAAACTTATTCAATTACTGCAGTAAACTATTTTAAACCCCACCATAACTCGCTAGTAAACTTCATCTGACAGTTAACTCTCTTAACTTGAAGTTAAACAAATTGTTAACATCAATGTCAGATTGTAGAAATATGTACATTATGCCATTGAAATAAGAGATAGTTTAAAAGTAATGTTATGCATCGTAAAGAAATTATAACCTTCTTACGTTGACATAAATTATAAATTGCATTTATCATTTAATGCTCAGCATGACGGCGCCATCGTCAGCCGCGACGGGAGAGCTAGTGATGTCCGTGAAATATTATTACCGGAAAATATCGATGTAACCTTGGATTTCTTTCGACACATGATATTCATATTTTGTTCCTCAATTTAAGATTATTTTATTAAATTGACAAAAATGCATTTCTTTATAAATTAAAGCTTGACGTTAGAAAACCGTTTTCAGTATGATAAGAAAATGCGTGCGAAAAAATAAATCAATGGAGTAAAGTGAAAAATAAAGGTAGGACGGCACAGAGATAATATTATCGATATAAACAGTAAAACTTTTAAGTTTCCTCCCATGCAGTACATCACTAGTCGATTTAAAGCGTGATTACGATGCTAATAGATACGATATGGTGCACGAGTTGACCCTTGCAAATTGCTCTAAATCTAAACTTGGATATCTGCGTATTTCTCGGAATCAGTAGCTAGTCTAACGGAATATTTCGTCATAATTTAATTCTGACATTTAAAACATGTTCTGTATAGAGATGCATGGACAAAAAGATAAATAAAATTATTGGTCTTGGATTGAATTATTTGGAATCATAATTAGATTTTACACAAATAAGTGATATTAAAACATTAAAAAGTTATGTAAAATTAAAAATAAATATCGATAAAAATGAATATTACAACCCTTTCACATAAATTTACGAATATAAGGAAAGCGCCATCTATACGAGACACGCGACACTATCATAGCATACGCAAAGCGGAAAGGGCGCGCATGTCGGTCATCAGAAAATCAATTTAGATAATTTGCTTCAAAATTAAAGTTTATTGACACTGACAGAAACATAAAAAAATTAATAGTTCTCGCTCCTATCTTCTGCTTTAAAATATATAATTAATATCATTATTAGGTTCAGATGTCATCAAAATATAGGTTAATGTTAATAAAAGCTCCCGGCAAAGTTTATATAACTTGATAGTTATGAAATCAAACATATAATAAACAAAAATGTGATTTAAACAAATTGGTAGTATACGATTTAAAATCTTTTTAATTATAGATATAAACTGGGGAATTTAATGTCCTCTTATTTTACAATTAATTTATGAAACACTTTGGGACGATCTGTTTCATAAGTTGTTAACATATTTTTGAAAGGAAATGACCATCAATATTACAGAGTTTTAAATTAAGAATGTGTTTTAGCTTTAGGGCTTCGATGTGATGACACCGGTGTTACGTTTTCAGTGTACTAGAAGTGCTAACTCTACAATTATTATATAATGAACAAAGACTTATTAATATTGACTGTAAACTTATTGAACCGTTACATCTAGTGCCATTTTAATGATGCGAGGTGCTTCTCAACACATCAACAAACATCGGAAATTAACATTTTTTCTAACAACCTTGGACGCGTCTAAACTACATTACTTCAACTTTTTCTAACTTAACAAAGTTATTCTTGCCTCTGATATAAAGGCTGGATATACAAAAGTAAAAGTCGATGTATGTTTCCCGACTGTAAAAGTACTTTGGTATCCAAGCTCCGGCTATGTTGGTGTGCATTCTCTCCGACCGGTCACACTTTTTGCATTTCCTTGGCGATACGACGTCACGGATGACCACTCTTACCGACAATCTTCAGAACATTTCGTTTTTTAATTGTTGTATTCCGAAGAAAGCAAATTATATATTACATATTGAATTATTTAAAAAAAATCTAAATCAAAACGGTTTTTTTTAATAAATATACGACGTTGTCATGTTTAGTAAGGTTCATAGAAGATTTTACGGTTGTCATTAAAACAATGAGTTAGTTGTAGGGTTTAAATTAAACTAGATGCATATCTAAAAAGAATAGATTTATTAAATGGTTATTTTATTTTTCCAATATCGAAAGATTATTTATTTAACTAGCCTTATGTCCTGTCCTAACACTAGCAACTTAGGTATTGAATAAAGTCAACCTACCAAATTATTAGAATAAGAAATAATTTAACACTCGTCTGAAAGGGTTCTAAAATATGTCAATATTGACGTCCCACTATTTCTTATCTATAGTTTACTGTATGTTTACTAAACTTATCATTGGTCAATTATGTTATTGATAACGCATAGTAAAGTTGCGACGAACTTACAACGAACAAGTCACGTTTTCGTTTGAGTTATCATGTATAATACTAGCTATCGCCCGCGATTCCGGCCGCATGCAATTAATATAAAAGATTTATAAATATTGAGATAAAATCTACCCTAACTCCCAAGTTGGACCAAACTACAGATGCTCACAAAATTTAATAAGAATTGGTTCAGTAGTTTCGGAATTTATCACGAACATACATCGTGACATGAAATTTTTACATCAAAGACTATCACTATTTAGGAAAAACGATTATTTCTTTATTTTCCTACGACATAATTAAAAAATTATTATTGATTTTAATTAGACTACTTAGTACTAGATTAAATCCTGGAATACGATCGACAACTGACGTAACAAATCGATGCAATGACACAAGTCTTCCATAATGTAACACGACAGGTGCAACCCTATACCGCTAGGGCTGTCGCTTCCGGCATCAGGAGTGGTCAGTTGTCATTCCGCGCCGGCAGAGAGCGCACGCGTCACCATGCAAGCCCCCATACCCGCGCCCCGACTACGACTGGAGTTCCATCCGCATAATATACACGTGAGTTACACTAAATAAATTTTTAATTATCGATTCGAGATAAATGGAATCGATTTTTTTTAAATAATCGATTAAATCTAGTCCAGATATTTGACTGAAAAAAAAATACAATTTTAGCAATGGAACAATTAGAGAATTTTTTATAAAATATTTAGTAATTTATCTTAAAACAGTTTGTACGATCCGTATTTTCGAAACTTAGGTCATCTCCCTTGCATTTACCGTTGTGCAATAAAATTTATTCGATGTCTCGCAAAAATGTTCTGGTGTTGGATATTTTTATGCGAACCATTAAGGATGCTTAAGAGGAATATTATAAGATATGGTTGGCTGTTTCATTTGCTTCTTTCCACTAATTTCTTTAATATTCATTACTTTTCAATCGATGATCTGTTCAGCTACATTAATTTTGTAAAGAATTCCTCTTTAGATTTATATTTTACAATTCGTGTAGGAAAATTACAAACGGGCGATGCGAAATGTACTCTCTTCCATACCACCACAGTAATCCGAATGAAATCCTTTCCTAAATTGGTGTAAACGACATTGCTACAAACCTGTTGTCAGGATAGCTTCCGGTTTGCGGTGTCAACTACGTCACTCACTTGATCCAACCCCACTTTACTCAGTGATGCGTAAATCCGTATCACAAGTACACGTAATTGGATAAATTTGCTAATCTTTACTGTCGTAAAATATACGAGGCCAATAGTATAAATTATTTTATTATATGACACGACTATATAATGATTGTTAAAACAAAATTGTATTCGTAATTTAGGTTTTTTTCCAACTTTGAAAAGTTCGCTTAGCTTATAGTTAAATATAGGTCTGCTGATTTTGTATATTTAAAGAAAATTGTAAATTATTTAAATGTACAGTAGTATCGATACAAAGATAGATATATGATGGAGGAAAAAGGGCATTTATCTGTCATCGACTAATTTTAAGACTATGCTACTACGATTAATGATAGTTGTTAAAAATGTAAATTCGAGTTAAAAAGCTAGACATAGTAATGTGTGTTTCATCATTGTGTTGTTATTGATGTTGCGAAACATTCCCAGGCTGAGGGGAACAATGCTGTGTGGCTGTCGCTAAGATAATTGTTTTTAAAACATTGAAACATTTGTTGAAATAACTAGCGATTATTAGGATGACATAAATATGAGTATCGGCGTTACGGTTTTTATATTTATTTCAATTATTGATCTTGATGCAAAACCTTTCGTATTTCGAAATGACTAAGGTCGCTTATCAAATAATCAATAATTAAAACTATATCCGTTTAAATAGGACGTTGATAAGCGAAATAATTTGCGGCCAAACTGATTACTTTCGGGTTAATTGAATTTGATCCGCTCTCATTTTGTCAACTGAGTTATAGTTACGATAGCTTAATATTATGTGATATTTCTGACTAATAATCGCTAAATAGACACATGAATCGACCAACCCGCACTGGGCCTACGTGGTTAGGGTCTCCCCTGGGTTAGGGTAGGCTTCGAGCTCCTCAGTGGTGGCGTATAATAAGCTGATGATAAAACACATAAATGTAGTCCGCATACTCACTTTATCTTCTAATTAGCAATCACTGGTAAATATTATCTTGCCAACGAAAATATTGCAGTATAGGCAACTGTCGCCATCTTCTTTCTTTTAATGACCCTCCGACTAGCGAATGTTGGCTGTCAGTTCATCATAATATTGTTTATATTTTGCAAAGTATAACAACTGCTGTACAAAACACAAAATAAAACGTAATATCAAGTTAGTATAAAAATTATATGAATTTGTGGATCGATGGCGTCGGATTGATGTCGACCATCCGGTGCTTTGTGTCCGCCGCATCCTGCCGAGTACAGCGGGCGAGGAAGTCGCACCAGGAAGCACTATATCACACGAAAAATTCACTGCTAATGCTTCATAATCGATTTGATATTAAAAAAACTTCGTCATTTATTTCTATGTCAAAATAGAATAAAGTTACATCTAAAATATGTGAATAAGTGTCTTTTATAATAATATTTCTAAATTGATTGTAATATTTTTATTTTTGTCAACAGACGACGATAAAGGTTTACGCACGCTGCCTGCGGCCGGACATCGAGTACAAGACGCTGTCGGTGACGTGGGGCACGCGCGCACGCGAGGTGGTGGCGGCGCTGCTGGGCAAGTTCCGTATGCGCCACCGCGACCCGCGTCTCTTCTACCTCAGCATGGAGGTGCGTGTGCGCGCCGCCGGACTGCGCACCGCGCTCGCGCTTGATGACGACGCGCGTCCCGCTGCGCTGCAGGCATGCCACCCCAAGGGTTACTCCAAGTAAGTAATTCACTGTATATGCTTCTATCAGAAACATGCAATAATGCCAAAGGTCAATGTTTTATGTGTTTATATCTCTAAATGTAAAGGTCAACCACCCTTAAATGCAATTCAACAATGTCTGATATGATACACGATTATGTCTCGCGACGTAGACGCATGGCTAAGTAGTCTTTTTAATGAAACAAGAAATAAGGTATCCAAACCCATGTTGCTTATGAGCTTCTTTAATGATCTGGCAACATAAGGGTTGAAATCTTTTCCAAACCGCCTACGACTTAGGATCCTTCAAGAAGCGAGCTTATCACTATCTCAGAGGTCGGCAACGCATCTGCGGTTCCTCTGGTATTGCTGATGTCCATGGTCGTCGTTGAACACCTCGGTGTTCCCGCTGCTGGTTTGCCCCGTTCTGTTATAAAAAAATCTTTGCGTAACAATTATTTCATCTGGCGTATATTTTACGTGTTAAAATGACGCTAACCCTCACGTGTTAGGTACTCCTTTGTCCTAATTTATTCTATTATAATACGATAAAGTCATAACAATGCTTTGTTTGTGAAGCTGCATGTGGAGCGATTACTGCGATTGTGTTTATATTTCTAACACTAAATCTGTATATGGCTTGGACAGAGTTCGCAAACTTTTGGCCCACATTCAGCGATAATAATAAATATATCTAACGAATGTAAAAACTCCGATATGTTTTGGTACATTAATGAAATATTAGATCTCTTCCATAATGTCGCAACGTATTAATAATTTTCCTTAGCAATTTAAAAAAAAAATTAAGGCAATTAGTTATCTAGTTAGCCATAGATGTAAAATGCAGTTTTATGTTTTTTTATTAGTTTTTGTTAGTATTGTTGTTACGCTGTGTTGGTCACCTCCGCACGATATAACAATGTAACAATATAATAACAAGTAACAAAACGAAGGCCGCGACCTCAATGTGCTGTAATGTTAATAATTAAGACTTGCATTCATGATATAACAGCTTGGGGCGTTTTGTTTACATTTGCATTGTATTATTTAAGTAATAAAAAACCTTATAGATGTTTGCTTTGTTTAATGCTAAAAAAGTAATTCTAGATTTTGCCCGCAATTACTGATATCTTTATACGTAGAAACCTAATTTTAGCTTTAAGAGAGTCTTGAGTCCATTAGATTAACAAGCGATAGCCATCGTTATCTGTTCTCTCTCTTTAATTTGTTTTTAGCTTTTGTTATGTTTATCGTACACTAATAAGATAATAATTAAAGTAGTAACAATACTAATATACACTCGTAGTTACCCGTTCGACCGGGACCACCGGCTAGTCGGCTAGTCAGTCTCGAAAAAGAATCACTTGTCCTTTTTCCGTCCCCTTCCGGCCGGCCGAGCTATTCCCGTCGTGTAAACACGCGCCGCGACCACCAATAAAAAATACTAAAGCATTTCGAAGGGTTTTTATTGAGCGTACGTTTCATATTACCCGCTTGTTGACAGACGTCACATTGTTTTGTGAGTTGCAGCAATGTGTAGCAGATGAACTGGTACATGGATAACATTTCTCAGAGGGTGGAAATGTTACCACTAAAAGTACTGGGAGAAAGCTAAATTATGCTAAAACAATGTGCAACAATTGCACTTCAAATTCTAAAATCCAATATAACCGAAAATGTTATGTTGTTCTCATTATTCTTATTGTTTTCAAAACAAATATATGTATGTTCTATGTTTAGTCTCAGCACTTCACAAGTCGATTTAATAAATTGCCTCACCAATGAGATACCTCGTTCTCTGACAGCTTTAGTTCTTCCCATTTGTTCAAATTATGATACCCTGGTGATTGAGTTACTTAAGGATAATATTTTATTTGTCCATCACAGAATAGAATGGAAAGTAATTTCTTTTAGTCTTCATAAACGATTCTGAAATAATCCATAAGGCAGGTCTAAAACTTTTTTTAGACACTAGCATATGGACATTGTTATATGCTCGGATACAATAATACATTAAGTAACATTGTTAAACAGTATTCGGGGAATACCCGTTTACGTAACAGTAATGCAGCAATACATCGGTGTGCGATCAAATATCAACTGTTTACGTCAAGATTGCTCAACGCATGCGCATTCTGCATTGCAAACGGCAACTACGAAGCGGATGACACCTTATACTTCCTTAATGAATCGACGCAATGTAGACTTTAATTTGCATAATACCTTAGCAGTTCTTAGTTGGGTTATGATTTTTTGATGTTGCTCATTTATTATCAATTGTTCAAAATTTCCATGATCTCTTTAGAAGACTGTATACCTCGTCTTATTTTCTCCGTTGTTTGTCTGCAGATTCTCGCTGCAGATGCGTCCAGGTGGTCTGGTGAAAATCTACGACTCTGCGCTGATGTCCTCCTCGCAGTACAAGTGCCTGCTGACCAGCGAGCGCACCACCGCCGACGAACTGCTGGCCATACTGCTTCACTGTTACGACTCTACGGAGGGCGTCGAGAGGTTCTCACTTTACGAGGTTTGTACCATACTCGGCAGTTACTTTAAGTTGAACTAAACTACTCGGTTTCCATAACTAACTATGTAATGTTTTATTTGGGGATCGAAAGATAGGTGAAAAAAAATGATTGTAAGCTTTGTAGAGTTAGTACCTACTACTTGAGATGGTAAAGGTAAATAATTAAAAAGTATGGGATCTATAATGAATCGTTGTAAAATGTAGAAAAACTCTTTCATTTCAGGTATGCCCTTCTCAAGAGTATGAGAGAAAACTACATCCAGATGATTTGCCGTTGCTGGTGCAACGAGCGTGGCCCACTGACAGCGACTGTCACTTCAGAGTGCGACGGAATCCCCGCGCCCCTCCTCTACCTCCGAGGACCATCCCTCCCCCGGTGGAGTCACCACAGGAAGACGAGGAACCTTCCAGAGCACTGTCCGCACTATCTCTCGAATCTGATGACGACAATAAGAGATACAGCCCAGTGTACAAGTTCCCCAGCATAAGTTACTGTAGAGAAACGAAAAACGACTATTTGTACATATGACTAGCGATGCGCCTGGTTAGGATCAAGTCTGCGATGGAAGGACGTAAGCCGCGTGCTCGGGTTCGAAAGAAAAGACTTTTGTGAAGTGTAAATAAGGTTTGTTTTGTATAAAGTGTACATAGTGGTACTCGTTGGTACCTCGCACGGTTGTTTACAGAGGTGCATAACCAAAGAGATATTGTAGATGGTGTAATCTATGACTTTGACTATAAGATGGATATTGTAAAGAAGATCAGGTGCCTTGAGAATGGAATCTATTAATTTACGACAAGAATCTATTATTTTGAGACTTTAATGCAATATTTTAATTCCAGATTTACGACTTCTAGTAGTAGTTGTAATCCGCTAAAGCATTGATATAATTTAGATTCATTTCTAATATTCATGTTGTATGCAGTATTGATTTAGCATAAATGTGACAAAGTTCATTCTTAGTTAAATGATCGTATGACGAAAATATGTAAATATTAGTACGTAAGTACATATTTTTAGCTAGTAGACACCAAAGAGGCAAGCGAATGTTTAAAATGATTAGATCTATTTATCTGTTATGTATTTGTGATGTTTAATTTATTAAAAAAGGCAGCAAGCACTTGGTTGTTTGTTTTGACGATGTTCTGCAAAACAATTAGTTTATTCTTCGTTAAATACTACGTATAGATTTGCGTTACATCGCTTACAAAACTTTACTCGCTTGATATGTTAAATATCATCGAATTATTACTTTTAATGAAACTAATAAACTGGATACCTTCTCTTGTATCAAATAATTGTTTTATTGTGCCTTTATCACGTCGTCTCCACACTACCTAGTCTTAATTACCCTTTTTAAAAATCCGATTTAATATAGAAATAGGTCAAAATCATATATTTTAAGAAAACAAAAGAAATACCGATATAAAGTATTTTATTTACAAATGATTGCAACAATGAAGTACAGACGATGCAATATAATTACAAGAGTATGTATGTCCAAAAAATGGGAAACGGATAATATCTAACGGCTCTAAAATTATCATTTATGTAAAATTTATACATTCGACCCCAGCTCCGGCCGCCGACTGCGGCGCCGGAGGTTCGCACGCGGCGGAGGCAACGCTTTACTTGAAGTTTTTTAACTTTATAAAAGTGGATAAAGCAATTTTTGATGAAATAATTAATCTTCTCATTTGATTTTGGTCATAGGTTTCAATTAATTCTTATTTAAAATTAAATTAACATATTTCTTGGATTTGCCTTTCGGGCTTAAAACTTCTCTAGTGATATTTCAAAATTTAATATTTTTTTAATGGGATAGGCAGCATGCCTAATTGCCTCCACCGATGCTTTCAGCTTTTAGTACATACACTATTACCTTAACTAGAAATCCGATATCGAATATCAACACGCGTCCGTTACCCACTCACTTCCACATACACGAATGCAATAAGCCCCACGTGTGTTTGCACAGTATATCTTTCTCTCTGTCAAAACAGAATAAAAAGAAAAGAACAGAAATAACATACGTAAGTAAAGTAAAAATAACAATAATTTCAGAATATAACTTTTCATTTTGTTTTAAAAGAGAGACCATACAAATTATCGTACACACTTAGCCTAGAGATCAAATACCTAACTTTAACAGAGCGTAGGTCTTCAAAGATTACCTGCACTCTGGTAAAAATTCGTATTAATTCATACTCATTTTCCACGACAAGGACAACCATACTCTATTTAAATGTGAATACTTTCTATGTATCAAATGAAAGCCACGAAAAGACAATTTTAAATTATAATCATTGGATTTGGAACTTGACAAATGATTTGATAGTCCATGTTATTGCAAAAGTTATAAGTTGTCTAGCAAATGAAACAAATGGAATATAGTAAAATTTTCCATGTCGTGAAAAGAGGCCAGGTACAAGTCTCAAAAATCGTACAAGCGGTCGTTGCGAGGCCGCCAACGGAAGCGTGGCACAAAGCTCAGCGAAACGAGACGGCCGGCGCCAGCGCGGCCCACTGCCACTGCCCACTGCCCACTGCCCTGATCACACCCAGCACATCACAATACCAAAAAGTAACCTCTGAGAATCAATCTCTAAATAATCTACGTCTAATAAAGAACACAAACTTTTAAACAGATTTCGAATGCTAATACCTAAAATTAAGGAAGATCAATTTTAATGGATAATTAGGGAAACAATAAACACTTTAAAACAGTCCAATACCACGCTAAAGAACTTGACAAAATTCTTGTAATCCTACCAATTGCAATTGCGGACAATAATACTTACGCTACCATCGACAAAACATAATAAACAAGAATTAAGAAATAGACAATACTTACAGCCGCTGCGAGAACAATACAATAGGTAGTATTTTTACTTCGACAGACAAAACTATCAGCATCTCGCACTCGGTATGATCAGGTCTCGATTGTGTAAATGCAGCTGCGTCTGATATTACCAAATACATAGATTCATATACAAATAATATTTTACTTAGGCAATACACAAAAGAGAAAAGCTCATAGTGTTCAAAAAGAGGGCGAAAGTACAACTGTCCTATTGAATCGAATTGAATATACAAAATAACATCCAGAAAAATATTTCTTGCTTATCTATTCGTAGTGGGCAACAACTGTAAGAATTAACGAGTTACAATCGACTAAAACAACGTTTAGTGCTATTAAAGCTGTGGAAAAATGATTTATTATAAAATTAGATCGCTCATTTCCGACTACAACTTCTTCGCACTTGCTGATACGAGCAAAATCTCATTTAACAAAGTATCATAAGCCTTAAATTATTTCATATTTAGAGAAAATAGATGTCGATGTGTCGCTTGATAGAAAAAACATTGAAATCCATTCTATGGAAGGCGTTCATTTCGGCGCCATCGTCACAGTAGCAGTTGCGTTCACACAAGCGGTCGCGGGACCGCAGTCGCGGACACGGGAATACATAAGGAAACACGAAACCGCATAAGAATCGGTCTGAAAGCGGCGGCGCTAGACGGCGTTCAGCGCGCGGCGCGACGGCCCGTAGTCCTCCGGGTCGCGGTCGCGGCTGCGCGGCGCGCGCTCCTCCCGCGCGTACCCCTCGCGCGCGTACTCCCGCCCGTACTCCTCGCGCGCGTACGCGTCGCGCGTGTAGTCGTGTCCGTACGCCTCGCGCTCGTACGTCTCCGCCGGCGGGTAGTCATGAGCGTAGCCCTCGTGGTAGTCGCGCGGGTAGTGGTCGCGCGGGTAGCGCTGGTACTGCTCCCGCGGGTAGTACTCCTCCTCCAACCGCTCGGGCCGCGCCGCCCGCGACCTGCCTCCTGAAAGTTAAGGCGAGGCATTTCAAATTTGTTTCTTACCATATTGAAATCGATTAAGTTGCCGTCAGTTTTGTAAAAGGTATTTTGACTGCAAATAGCTGAAATTATTACACCCGTGTATCAAAACCGAAGACAACTTAACCGAAAGTGAGGTACAATAGGGAGCGGGGTATGCACGGCAAACATCACACTGGGGAAGGTTCGCCGCGGGGCGGGTGCGGGGCGGAGGCGGCGGGGCACACGCGTCACTCGGCCACCCGGACTTACTGCGCTACGAGTCGGGGGCGACAGTCGGTGTGAGGTCGCCGCTACGCACTTTACCGGGGCACGGGAGCACGACCTGCGCGGCGGGCGGCGGGGCGGGGGCCGCTGCGGAGAAGGCACAGTGAAGCAGCCGGCGGCGGGGCCGACCGCCTCGGAAGACAGTTGAAAGGCGAAGATTTGAATGAAAGGGCGATAGAGTCGAGGTTTCTGGTTAGTGTCACCAAAGCCTGGTCTTAAATAAATTAGGAAAAAAACTGGCGATGCAAATCTTAGTGCCAAATTGTTAGTAACAAGCGAATTCTTAATACTGATTTTGGGATTCTTACCAATGACATGGTAAGGGTTGTTTGTATATTTTTCCCGGTTAACGTTTGCAATCGCAATCCTGAATGCCATATTAGTAAGATGAGTTATCGAGGTGCGGTTAGTATAAGCACACCCTTTGGTTAGAAGTAGAAGGCGTTAGCGGGCGGAGCCTGTAGAAAGTGTGTGCAACCTGAGCGAGCGGCGCCGGTGACTGCTATGTAATGGTACACTGGAATATATGGTCTTCGCGCGGCGGTTAGTGTGCTTGTCCTGAGGCTTGTACTGAAATGAACAGGAGGCGTCAGCAGCAGGGGCGCTACTTGTTAATCTAACATCGATTCTGACACTGAACTATAGGGCCGAAGGTGCATATGAAATCATTTTTAAATTAGCAAAGCAGTACGGAGACTTGAGATTCTTTTAAATAATTTACATCATTACTTGTTTCAATACGAATACATTTAAATGAATATGTTTAAGTCAATCTCCGCACTGCAGAGCTTATAAATTGATGATCTATGAATTAGAAGACACGATTCAGAATTAGCTGACTACGGCTATAGATACAAAGTACTAAAGCTTTTTCGCCCATTAATTTAAGAAATAAAAGAGAACAGAAATAAAACAATTCTATTTAATTAATTATCTAGTAATATAAACGAGAACTAACTGTTGTGAATGATTAAATAAAGTATTTCATAGACTGGGCAATTTAAATGAAATTAAAAAATTATTAACCTGAAAATTAAATAAAAAAGCTGGACAGGAAATACATACTCCCTAGAAAATAAACGTAGCTAACATATTTATTATATTAAGTACTTATATAATTACAATGGCTACAATTGAAGTTACCTCTTTCTCTCTCGTAGTTATACGAGTCAGACCTCTCCCGGTGTCCTCCGGAATGTGCAGGGGGATCAGAAGAGGGAAACACGGTTACATATGGACAGTATACAATGATACACGCCTCAAAAATATTGTGTACATTATGTTAAAAATACATAAAGATGTTAAAATACAGGCGAGAAAATGTAGTTGATAATGTTGAAATAAATATGGTCAAGAATAATAATTAGAAGTAAACTCGATACTCAAGAAAACTTGATCATCATATAATATTGCACATAATACAATATTTATAACAATAATATAATAAAAAATTAAGGGGAATCGAATTTAAATGAAAAGGAAATAATGTTATAAAGACTGCTCTAGATAAAATAAAGTATAAGATTTTAGTTAACGTGAACTATTAGAACATTTAATTTTGTTGATAACCATTGGCTTGAAGAGACACATACATCTAGATACTTATACACACGGTGGAAACTCACCAGGCTGGGCGTGGTGCGGGGCGTGGTGCGGTGCGTGATGCGGCGCGTGGTGCGCGGGCGCGCGCGGCTGCGGTGCCACTGTTGGTGGGTGCGTCGCTCGCCAGTACGCCTGGAAAACAAATCACAACTACTGTTAATTAATAATTTCTCATCATCTTATGATCCCATACTTGTATCCACAAGCAAGACAGAGAGAGAAGAAGCAATGAAAAATGTGACATTTCTGTCTGGTGATACTGAACTGACCTCAAGGTATTCGGCGATGTGCTCGCAGGCGTCCTCGAGCTGGTTCTCGTCGAGCACGACGTCGAACATCTCCGTGGGGCACTGCGCCAGCTTTTCCGCAGCCACCATTTGCACCGACAGGTTCTTACTCTGCCCCTTGCCGCGCGACTTGATCAGTCGCTGCAGCACCTGAAAATTGAACAATTAACGTAACAATTGCTCCTTAAATTATAAGGAAACAGAATATAGTTGCCATTTAAAATATCCTATAGAACTATCTCCTCACCTTCGGACTGGATATCTTGAGATAGACGATGGTAGGCGCGAGGGAGGTCTTGGCGAGCTGCGAGGGGTGGTTGATGGTGTCGCAGTCTAGCACCACCAGCTGCAGCGTGCGCGCCAGCTCGAATATCCTCTCTATCTCCGCCTAACAACACATTGTTAAACAATGGTCACACTGTGTTATAATGGACAAGTTATTGAATAAAAATTATTATTCTTTCACGCGTTCATGCACAAATCGGTTAAATACTTCAATTAGAATTCACACGCTCAACGATTTTGTTACGTTGTAAACACCTGTCAAACATTTGCTTAGTAAGTTTTTGTTCACGTAAATATTTACTGTTGATTAGCTACTTATTTCAATGCAAGTTACTAATGGTGCAATGTTTAGGATCATGCTAGCATATTCAATTATTGTTCTACAATTTTACTAATAAAAATTTGTTCAATAATGCAAGATTAATCCTAACGTTATTTAAATGGTAATTATCAACGTCTGTTCAGAAATATGCTAAAGAATTACTTCGTCTACATTCGGATACCTCAAACCCAGAGCCTTATACACTATTGGTTAGCGACACAGGACAACATATAGCATCAAATCTGCATTTAAACCTTTACATGTTAGTTTGTTAGTGAATTTAAGGTTATCAAAATACATAAATTTATTGTTATAAACTAAATCTTCATCAATGTCTACCATACACGGTTTGACTACAGGGTATGGTCCGGCTACGACCGGGCAGGTCGCAGCTGGGACTACAAGCTCTAGCTGTTAGCGGCACACAACGGCGACGACAACCAATGCACCAGTTCCGCACCTGCACCTCAGCGAGGCAGTTATTTCGCGAATTGCCGCGCTCCATCGGCTTTTTTGATGGCGTGAGCAGCGAGCGCTTGGCCAACGATATGTCCGCCGTCACCCGCGTGATGATGATCCTGCAACGAGACGGCGCGTTACCTCGGGCATTACCTGCACCTCGGCCAGGCAAGTGGAGCGCGAGTTGGAGCGCTCCATTATCGCCCGCTTCGACGGGTTGTTGAGCAGCGAGCGCTTCGCTAGCGATATGTCCGCCATCACACGAGTTATTATTATCCTGGAATTGTAATTCATTATTTATATTCCCCGTTCGTCGCTTGCGATGGACGACGTGATTGTATGCTGTGATGACCATTTCTTATTGTAGTACATTTTGATAGTTGTGTGTAGGCGGGACTTTTTGTGATGTCTCATGAAAATGTAATGATCTTGACTGCACATGTTAGAACTGTATTTACAATTCATTTATATATAACACGGCAGGCACAGTTGAAAACGTTTTGCAGTCATCACAGTCTTCATACCTCAATACACATGTTATGCTGTTGTGTCAACGTCGCTGTAATATAGAGTTGTGTAGCTGAAATAAAATGTGCTGGAAATGAGATGATTATTGTAAAATAATATTAGGATTAATTTGTATTTATTGCACTTTATAGTTACAAAACAATTTGTTAACTTTTCTCGTCTGTTCTCTTATCTTACGGTTGATCTCTCACTGTCAAATAATTGTACCATCGAGTTTCTTGTGAAATATTTTGTTTTAAAAATTATCTGTGCATAACTGTAAAATCATTTTTAAATGATAACAATGTAAATAAAAGAGAATGAACCATGATGATCATAATTAAAATTACCTGCCCTCGAACCGCCTCTTGAGGAAATCAAAGAGGGCCTTCTGCATCATGTCCGTGACCTCGTACCCTTTGAGGGATGGTCCCACCAGCACCACAGGCCGCATGGACGGCACTACGTCGTACGGGCTCGCGTTCTCCTGCTTCTTGAAGAACGGTTTCCTCTTCTCCTTTCCGGTGGGTAGCGCTCCCGCACCGCGCCCCTTGCCTGAGTCTGAATCCTCACCTGCACGGGTAAAACTCATTATAGAACGTACACCAGCAACAGAAGCATCGTATCGTTATAACAAAGATACAGTAGAACGCCGATTATCCCAATTAATTGGGACAGGGGTCGATTCGGATAATCGAAAATTTAGAAAATCGAATATAAACTGGTAATAAAGAAAAACGACCTGTAGAAAAACACGTAGAATAAAATATGTACTAGTGACTTGCATCTAGCTTTTATCCATAACAATTGAAGTATATGTGAACTCTAGCCAGTTTGTTACAACAAAACAAAACAAAATGACTTGGTTTTAATTTTTTATTTTTTACATTAAGCTTAGGACCGATTTGGATAATTGGCGTTTCTGTAAATCGGCGTTCGGATAATCGGAGATCTACTGTACGTAAAAATTGCAGCAATAGAGGCAGTAAATCTGGAGACACTGAGTTTTTAGCTGTTTTGCTGTATCATTCACTTTACAACAAGCAAACATCAAGCAGACATAATATCCTGACATAGAATGCAGGCTGATATTTAAAACTGATACATTGTGGGACATCAAGGCATGCTTCTATTTTCCACCAAACACCGAATACAATAGTTTAAATTACCGAGCATTTACTTATTATCATAGATTTTATTATTTGGAAAATTCTTAGGACCATACATAGTAAAAGTTGAATGCACAATCCCTTCACAACATCAACAGCTTAAAGCAATACATATCAAATTATAACTACGAATATCGCCTTGCTTTTAACGAAATGATAGAATTTAAAAATATATTTAGGGACATGACAAGGACATAAAACGGTAAGTAATCTAGGCATATTAAAAGAAAAGAAATATAATAGCAGTTTATCATTAAACATTTTAAATTCCATCATTTACGTTTAATAACAAAATTATAAATATTAAATAAACTTAATAAAAGAAAATAAATAAAAAGAAATTTAATTATTTATTATTAAAGACATTATTTATTAAAAATTAAGAAGAGGAAATGAACAAAGGAGAATGACGCGAAAGAACTAGCGGTATAAAGAAATAAATATAAATTAACTTTAAAATTCGTACTTTTACAAACAAAATTCAGTTTTATATAAATCAAATACATTGTGTTCATATACTTAGATAGATATTTAACTTCAAAATTTGATTTTAAATCAAACTATAAGATACTGAAGTCGATTTGTAAAAATACGCATTTAAAGTAACCTACACAATAAAGGAAGAGGTGAAAATTGATAATATTTCCTGGTCAACAATGAATGCGGATGATCTTACCTCGGTCAAAGGTTGGCACATCTGAAAATATGTCAAGAGTGAGAGCAGGTCATATAACCAGGAAACTGGCAACTTCCACCGAGTGATGAGCGTGAGGTATGGACGCGTGGTACAAAGCAGTTATCTATTCAACATTCGTTTGAACATTGATTCAGTAGTTACATTTTTGACAAGTTAACAAGTTCATAACAGATATGAATGACGTCATTATAGATATTGGTATGGAACATATTACAGACCGAAAGGAAGGAAAAAGAAACAATTATAATTTAAAAAAAAAATCTGTTCTCGGAAAGAAGTGTTCGCTTTGAAGTAGCCTGTAAATATTAAGTTTTTTTAATAAAAAATCAGTTAATTTAGAGCAAAGGGCAACTTAAATTTTAAGTAGGTATCACATAAAATAGAGATGTCAATCATGCCTCAACAAAGTACTGTCCGATGTTATAGGACCTAATAAATTAGTGGTTAATTTTGAAAAGTTTAGTAAAGTGCTTAATCTAAAAGCCAATCAAGTACAACTATAACCTTATGCTTGCTTAACATTTTTTGTTATCTTAAATGCACATTTTGTTATTCCAGAACAATAGAACAATCAGACAAACAGATATATACAAACTGCATTGTACATAGTTACATCAGATAAAATTATTATAAGTTTACATTAATTTACGATCAATCCGTCTATTTAATAAATTATTATTATCCAAAATGCGTTTATTGATTTCATCTGATGTAAAATTAAATACGACCATTGACTTTGACAAATTTAATGTACCTGAAGCCAAGTAAAATCTTATAAACAATGATTAGAGAGTAAACAAATTTGATTGGCATCATCAGTATACATTGAATTTTCATGTAATGCAGTCAATGTGAAACACGGAGCGCCGCGTAATGAGCTTATTGAAATGCAGTCGCACTGCTGTGTTGATACTGAACCGAAATGAATATGTGATAGTAACACTAATTTAACATAGGAATGTATCATATTCACTTTCATCATCATAATTAAAACTGAGTTATGAACCTCGATTTTTCTAATTACGACAAATAGGTTGAGTAACGTTTTAATAATCACCAACTTTGGTTTCTTTATAACTCTATGCTTTACTTTGTGAGGTTCCTCAATTTAAAACATTTTTTTTTATTTTTCTATGATGCAAATCTATGTGATGTAAGCCAATTATGCCATAGAAGCACATTTAAGTGTAGTTGGCGTAACAGGCGATGCCCTACGATATCTGAAGGCTGTTTGTAATTGATTTAAGGATTCATTGCGATTGTGAAACCGTTTGAAAATACAGGTGTATGTCTTTTTGTTTCGATATAATTCAGAATCCAATCAGATTTACATCTGCTTTACCTAATATACCCATTTCCGCAACGCTCCATGCCGTATGGTCTCGCGAATGCCCCGCGAATGTTCCCCATGGTCCCCGAATGATGGCGCGTGACGTACCGGGCGTGGGGGGAGTGCTACCTCGGCTGGGGAGCGCTGGCGCAGCGGAGGGCGGGCGGTAGCGTGCACGGCCGGGGCCCGAGCGTACCGACTCCAACTTCACTGGCGACGGAATGAACCCGATGTCCGCGTCCTCCTTTACTAGCCGACCGATCCACCAGTTGTTATCGTACTTCTCCTGAAAACCATTGATCATTATCAGATTATAATATGTATTGATAAGTTAATACGGATTTGATGTATGCAGCATATTGTTACCTTGATGTGCAGGAAGTCGCGCACCTCGAAGGAGATGGCGCTACCGTGCACAGGAGAGTCGTCGTCCAGCGAGCCATCGTACGCTACGTTCGTTCGCACCGCAAACGCTACCGGCTTGGACTGCACACATATAGACAAAAGGTTAACACGCACTCGTCAACTCCTTGCCCACTTGGCAGCAATCATGTTTGTTTCGGTTAGACGAGGAGTGGACAAATGTTCGTTAACCTTAATACACCACTAGAACATTGATGCAGGTTAAATCTCAGAAATCTTATTTCACAGAAGGACGGACGATGGTGCATTGAACTTATTAGAAAAATAATCTGGTAAGCATAATAAGCCTGTTACAACGTTTGGCGCCCTGTATAATTCTGATAATCTATTTTCGTATTATCTCGTACAAGACTAGTTTAAATGCCATTAACCAAATGCCTAAACAGTTTACGATACAAAGCCACATACCACATGAGTAACGACTTCCGGTCGCATTTGACTGACTCGCAACCTCAGAGAAATTTCATTCGATGTTATAAATTTGGACAGTAGTAGTAGTAAGCAAGTATGTTTGTTTTACAATTTCACAGTTCTGACGAATATGATAAATGAAGGCGTAAAATATTATAGTATAATTATAAAACTTATACAATTCCACTCATTATCTCCGAATCAAATATTTTTTGTAAAGCAATGAAATCTTGGTGTCTGTTTATTTTATTATTTGTATCTGAAAACTATTCGGTACATTGGGTTGTTACGTCTACTAATAAACTTTTTTTATCAGATGCTGATGATCAAAAAGGTTATAGTACTTTACCGCAACACGGTACTAACACAGCATAGCTTTACCCTGACAGCGTACAGTCGCGGTCCACGAGTTGAGGCGGTTTCGGGTATGTGCAGAACTGTACATTGGTAATGCATTATAACCTTAATGATGATGATAGTGGTGCTCACCCTTGCCTTGTCGAGCTGTGAGAGGGCCTGCGCTTCCTTCTCACGGCGCAGCGCCTCCTTGTCCTCGTCCAGCGACAGCTCCGACGACGGCTGCGAGTAGTTGGAATCCGCCGAGCCCTGTAGTGTATACAGCCAACAATTCAAACTAGTACGGGGACTGCGGCAAGATTACAGCGCGTCTCAGATAAGAATTTGCTTTATAATAAGAAGATATTTGATCGATGGATCAAATATAATTATAGATCTATACCAAAAATATGTGCGACATTTTTTTGAAATAGAACATTCAGATTTGTTATTGCGATACATTCTTATTTGAAACGTACTGTAAACAAACACAATGTAGATGACAAGATTTTACGAAAGTATTTAACTTAGTTAAGGCTGGCTTGCTCGGTCTAAAACATTCCAAATGACAGATTTCTCCTTTAACTAATATCCGTTGTGTATTGTAACTTTGGTTTGCATGTCCACTTTCCATCGCGTTCAGTTTATAAATGAATGAGTATTTCTGAACTTTTCTTATGATCTTTTTATTATCGCTGTGACTACATACTACTGCAGAAACATTTGATTATGTATATTACGTCACATTTGCAACACACGCACGTAGAGAGCCAACTCTGTCAGAATACTATATAGAACAGTTTCGTTTTTGGCTTCAAAATTAATTATAAATAGTAGCTTTATCATTTAGTTTAACAATAAGTTAATTACACGTGGTCATTATTTATTTACAGTAAATAATCGATACAGTAGGGTCAGCAATGGATTGTGGAATTGGCAGCTGTCTATACTGCGCGCGCAACTATGCGACAATACAATGCAGTTTAACATCTTTAAATAAAATTTCGTTTACAATACGATTAATTTACTTCATCTGGTAATGCTCAGGTAAGTACTTAGTTACTAAAACCGTGACATATTCTAGATTGTAGATTGTAGGCGTAGATATATGGAACTTGAAAGACCAACTACAATACGTTAACTTAGTACAAGTTATGATTTCTCTTAGAGCCATTCTCTGAGCAATAAACGGCTTGCCTGTTCATAATCTTACCAAACTATAATCTATATATATAATGAAGAATAGATCACAGAGATTAATTTCTAAGCATTAAAATTGTGATAACGTAATCGTAGCTCCTCGTATTACCAAGGTATGTTTACGTTGTCGTTTACACAAGCTGCTTTAAATTTAGTGCGAAATATTCATTTTCATCATTTTAATGAATTTAGTTAAATGTTATGCGTTATAAGTCACTAGTAAGAAAAATTGTCGCGTGTTCGTGATGACGTCATCACTAGGCTGCGCTAGTTGTCTTTGTAAACGTAAAAGCATTGAGTCGTAATCAAAAGCGAACATGGAAATTAACTTGATAATTTGAAAGTGTAGTTTCGTTTCTTTGTACATCTAGGTTACCACATCATTTTTATTTAAAAAAGTATTGAAACAAAGCTTAATGAGGAGAAGAGATGTGTCAAATCAAGTGAATTATCACTCAAGACATTTAGAAAATGTATAAATAAAAAAAGAGATTCAAAACAGTTTTTTAATGAAACAAAGAAGCGTTAGTGAGCATAACAGAACAAAAGTCTTACCAAAGGTTTGTAGTGTGTCATTTGTCGATGTCGGCGTGGCGTACCCACTGCATGCAAGCAACACGGACATACAAGTCAGACAACATGCTGTTCAATGTAAACACATTTGCGCATAACATCCACGAATGCACGGGACAGCAGTGCAAGTGTTAACGTAAATACAAAGAAAATATAATAAATATTAAAAACTGTAAATAATTATTGTATTAATACACATGCAAGTATAGATTAACACGACTTATTTATATTGTGGAAATTAAATTTATTAAAAAATAAAATATAATTTTTTTATGAAAAGGAAAACGTTATTTTTTTATTACCAGTCGTAATAATCTATAGATATAAAAGTAAAATAATTATTATAATATTAACAATAAAAGAAATTGTTAGTAGGTAAATATAAAGTTTAGTGAATTAATGATTACGTAAACAATTAAAGTGATGTACAGATGAAATGCGTAATATAAATGCATAAAATATAACATTACTAGCAAATAAAACATACTAATATAATGGTAAATTAATCAGCTAAAAGAAATTCTAAATGAAACGAACATTTTAAAAGCTCACCTCAGCGACGGCAATTAGTTAATAAAAAAAAATTAAACTGACTGTTATACTCGTATCCATTTTGTTATAAAAAAATAAATTTGACAAGAAGTTTTTAATTAAACGTCAAAAAACCCGCCAATTATTAAGTGACAGATTATATTTACACCATAGACACAGAATTTACTTTTTCAGTAAAAATTTGCTTAAATTCCTATTATAATTTTTGTAATCTTAATACTTAAAAAATGTATGCATAAATGAAATTATATTCAGTATTGACTACAGAACGAATTTAATATAAGGAAGCCAGTGTTGGTCTATTCCATTCACTCTCGTTCGCAGTGAACGATTGATTACAATGTTTGAGTGCGACTGATGCGACCTCGTGTTTCGGCAGACGGGTGCGGATCGAAGCCGTGACGTCACCCACCCTCAACCCCCAACCCCCTGATCTCATAAACCCCCTGCATATTTTACGCCCTACACCGAGGTATTTCGGTTATTATTGGCCCCAAATGTCTTGAGTTCCGAAACGATTCCATCATGCTGTAAAAACTTCTTTTCCGTGCTCCTTGAACTTAATTGGTGCTTATGTCGTTCAACTATATTGACTATTTTATTGATGTAACCGTTTAGAGAAAATGTATAACAACGGTTTGGGAAACATTTTCCGTTTACCTAAACATATAGCAGCCGGTTTACCCAATTAGGAGTAGAATTTAAGGGACCTCTTGAAAAACCTTTGCGAACTCTATTACGACTACAGTTTAAATGGCCAGTTATGTTCTTAACTAACTTAAAATATGATCGACTTATTGTAGCAATAACAGGCCGCGACTTCGAGCGCGGAATTAAAAAAAAATATCTAGTGATAAATATAGTCTATGCAACCCAGAGATAGTTAAGCTTCCCAAAAGTGAAAGAATTTTTCAAATCGGTTCAGTAATTTTGAAGAATATACAGTGCAGGAAAACTAAATCTTTCCTCTTTATAATTTTACTGTCTGTTTTTATTAAAAAAAACCTTAATAAGTAGTAAATGTGTTCTTCCAGACTATGTTCTACATATACCAAATTTCATCAGATCTGTTGAGTTGTTGCGGAGAGACTTACTGTATCCATCCATCCACCCATTCATCTATCTAAACTATTTTTTTAATTTCGATGACGTCACAGGTGTATGCCTGAATAATGTACATAATAATTCATGTCATTGATTTATACAAAAGACTTATAAATACAGAAAAATGTCTTTGCTACTAAAAAATGTAAGGGCGGCGGTGAGTGCTACCACGCGGGTCTCATGTTATCGTGTCCGTGTAGTAATCATTTATGCTTTCTGCTCGATAACCTTGGGAAGATTTATTGCACAAGCAAAATGTTTATGTCGATATCACAAACGAACGGCTATTTCTGAACGAACGTTTTCAATTCGGACGCGATGTGTGTTGATGCATACCGAACATCGGAATTCATATAACATTAATATTTTGATTGAACTATCGTATTTCCCTTTAGCTATTTTACAGAACACAAGCGCAAGTTCCCTTTGGCACAAGAAATGTAAACGAAATGATTACGAGAAACAAGAAATAAAAAAGTGTCGGATTATTAATCACAATTAAGTTCATGCGTAATAATATTAGTAAGATATATTGTGGCCATTTTTAGATTAGAAAATAATAAACTATTTAATTTAAAATAACATAAGTACTGCATGTACTATGTCATTATGTTGTTCTGTTCTTTTATAAAGAAGTTCATTTTGTTTTTATAACAATCGATTGAAAAAAGAAGCCTTATCAAGTACACACGCAATTCATTTAACTTATTACAAGGTTAATTATATTTTAAAACAAACATGAAGAGATTCCATCAACACGCTTGCTATAAACAATTAAACTTAGTCATAGTTTACAAAGTCCGTGACAGATTTAGTATGTGCGAATTTTATTAGTTTGCACGAAGATATTTTGCCGGATCTTTGCCGAAGTCTGGCTTTCGTTAGCGTTAATGCGTTTCTGATGGTTATAGCTTACTACTGAAATCACGTTTGATCTAATATAGCCTGTACATTGTTACATTTTAAATTCTTTAGCGAATTCACTCAATCTTTTCGATAAAATCAAAAAAATAAAATAGTGTACTATAAGAATTTTATACATAATCAATGAAATTACTGCGTGATTGTTCTATGAACTCCAACAATTTCTTTTAAAATCAAGTTGGATTCATGTCTCATTACGGTTAATTATTGAAAGTTTAGACTTAATAAGTATTTTAAGTACATAGCTTGAGTAATGAAGATTCAATGTTTCTAGCAGAAATAAAAACATAAACACCTCCAGTGATCCAATTTTTGGAAAGCAAAGACAACTGTCTGGCCGCGCAACGCACACGTACGAACAACTGGAAATAGAACATATTTCTACATATCTCTCCTTAAAATAATGATTTTCATTATAACTTCAAGACTTCAAACAATCTTATTTTTTCCTATAAACTTGTACTTTTAATTTATATGTTTTTGTCTTAAATATGTTTGCATAAAATGATAAATAATATTAAGTAATTTGTTTTTAGCATTTACTAAATACATGGTTTTTATTGAATAAATGAATTAAGTAAATATTAAAACGTACCTTCTAGAATTTAAATTACAAATTAGTTTTTGCTCTTACTGATTTCAGTCGTAAGAAGTTTCAATTAATATTATACCTAGAAACACATATAAAAAATATATTTAAGGTGGTAACCCTAAACAATAAAAAAATCAAAAGACGCATCTGACTGAGGCTCTAATCTCTCACAAAGAAACTTGCACACATACAAAACCACATACATAATAAACAAACAACAACATTACCCTCTTGTCAATTGGGTACAAAATATTACATCTTACCTATTAAATGTATCACGTAAAAGCAAACAGTAAACATTGCTAAACAAATTACATCCTAAAAAGCTTTGCATTAACTTTGCGATTATTTTGATAAACTCGACTTCATAACTGACACATTTTATTAACAACATTCCCTTTGATCAAACGCAACGAGTCCCTACGATATTTTATGTAGACGTATCAAATCGAAACAATTAAGTTGTGTTGTCGCACCTGCGTGAACAACTTGTTGTACCCGTGGCCTTGGTTGTTGTAGCCCATCATGTTACGGCATGGTGGCAGCTGGTGGCCGCTCTGGACCACCAGGGGGATCGCGTCCGGGTCGGCCGTGGTGGCCACGCTACACAACTAGGGGTGTGCCGTCTGGTGCGGCCGCTGTAGTTACAGTGCACCGCCAGGGGACTGACGTGGCCGCGGTGGTCACACTCTGACACTACGTGGCCGGCCGCGGTGGCCACTTTGATCACTGTATGGATGGCGACGTTGGCCTCGGTGGCCGGTGGACGGCCAGGGAAGGCGTCGGTATCGGCGAGGTGGCCGCGCGGCGTGGTGCGGGCTGGCCGGCGGCCGCGCGCTCACAAAGCCGATTCCGACCGACATGACCGCACTCCCCGCTTCGCCTTGCTATCGTATGTACACGTAGGGCTGCCACTCGCGTGATATCAACACGAGTAAATAATATCATTCATAGTACATACTTATGTAGTATAATATATATACTTCTGTTTTGGTAATGTGTAGTTTGATAATTTATAATTTGAGTGTCTATATCTACAATGGTTTGTGTCAATTCTCATTAAAGTGTATTTGTAGCAGTTCACTCTTATTAAGCGTCTTTTCATGTATTTGCGATTTCTTGTTTATATACCTATTATTCCTTTTAAAATAATGGCAATAAAAGTCATCTAGAGAGCTTTTGAGATTTAACTCAAATTTACTACGAGGCGGCAGCCCTAGGTACGCGAGTCCTGGCGCCCCGCCGCCCGCCCTCCGCCCGACGGTGAATGAGCTGCGCGCGCAACACGCACCCCGCGTCCCGCGTCCCGCACCCCGCACTACTATAAACACAGTCGATTGTGTCCAAGTTGATGTTTGTCTACATGTTTCTACATCCGTACTCACATATTATATACATGTTTATAAAAAATAAATATATAACAATGTGGTTATTGTGAAAATGCGTTCATTGTCCTAGCCTACGAAGCCGTTTAACAATGAGCTCTTCGATTAACCATCTCGAATTAAATTTCTATACAAACAAAGGCCAAATAAAGTGATTATACTCGTATATTGAGATCTTAAGGAGTTTGTAGGTATGACAATAAATGACGCAACACATTACAATATTATTAAACTAAGTAATAAATGAGTTGACATGTCGCTCAGCACCGGGTACAAGCAGACTTTTTAACTACAATACTCTGCTGTGAGTATTCTACATGGAAAAACATTTAACAACTTTGTCAGCTACTTGTGTATAAAACAAATTTTGATAAAATAGTCACTTTTATTCTGCTAGAATGTTATCAAACTGCTACGCTGTAGCATTAAGTCGGATATAACCGTAGCATTGTTGCTACATCTTTGCAACGATACCTTTGATTGACTTTTATTTTAGAAACTGAATTTAAAGAAAGCTAATACCCTGCTAATGCTACCTATAATTGAAGAATCATAGCAATATTGTCGAAAAGACAGGAAAGAAAATTAAAATGATTGTCATATGTATCGTTCACAAATATATACATAGATTGACTAAATTTACTATATTCATCATCATCATCATCAGCTCACTATACGTCCCCACCGAGGGGCTCGGAGCCTACCCTAAGTTAAGGGTATTTACTATACTAACAATTGGTATTATTTCTTTTGGAAACAAGTAATGTTTTTATTATATTTATGTTGCGTTATGTAAAAACTAAGACAAAGTTAACTTCAATCGATGACCGCTTCGCTTAGCAAAAGTTCATAATTGCCTACAACACGCCACACCAACTTAATCATTTATTTCAACCGAACCATTAAAGCATCGTGACAAACGTATTATCGACTTTATTGCAGTCACATAAGATTTATATTCGTGTTTCGGTTAAAATTGACTAATGAACTTGAGAAAAAATAGAAAAAGGGACTTAAATGCTTAGAAAATAAGAGCGTCGTTTAGTTGTTGGGTACGTTGCGATTGAATGTGCAATGTAAGCTAATATTTCATGCGGGTAAAGGAAATTGTACTTAATAACTATTGTTTTAAGGTTTAATATTGCGATGTGATCGTGCGCATGCGCGGATGATGGATCGATGGTCGGCGCCGCGACGGCGACGTCGACGTAGTTGACCCACTTGTCGGTGCGGCGACGGTATGGCTACGGTGCGGAAACGGTGCGCCAACGGTGCGACGGCGGAGCGATGGACGCAGAAAGCATTGATACATCATACACGCAGGCATTGTCATAGAAGTGATAGATAAAATCGACACATAGTTGTCAAGCAATAGTTTCATTTCTTTGCAATGCTCTGCCACCAAGACACTACTTATTTATCATTTAATGAGTAATGATGTCTGTATGTGTTGTTTATAATAACCTGTCATAGTCTACATTAAAGAAAATAATAAATCCGTACAGATATTGGACCGGGACTTTAAGTTAATAGACACACGCAAAGTTACCTTATAGTTAAATCACGAAATTGTAACAACTAATCAACTACTTATTTTATTTAGATCGTTACGACAGTATCACTGTACACTCATCCTTATCTCATCTGTACCGTGTGTATTGAGTCATTTCCTGCGTTAAATCAACACATCTTCCAATTGAGGTTGGTGTTCCTATAATTGACAAATTTATCTGCCTCGCTTTCATTTCACTTGACGGTCAATGTTCGTTTGGGGCTAGGAACTATGTTATTTATAGGGCTCCGACATCTTACTAATATTATAAAGGCAAAGGTTTTGATGTATGGATGGATGTTTATTGGAAAGTATCTCCAGAACGGCTGCAAGGATCTCGCTGAATTAGACTTTGATGACATACTCTTGAACATCACATAGGCTACTAATTAAGTTTTTTTAAATATTAACGCGCGGACAGAGTCGCTGGCGATAGCTAGTTAATCGTAAATGTTCTTTAATCGTATTGGTTCAACTTTTATTTAAATAAAATTGGAATTTTAAATTACGATCTTATTGAAATTATAATTTTGTGACTAAGTGTCTTTAAATTTTCTCGTATGTGAATCGACACATGTGCTATTCCCGTCAGATCCGGCATGAGTTCCGGAGTCGGAATGGCGCATGACTCAGTGACCAGCGGACTGTGACCTCAGATGCCGCGTGATGACCAATTCGAGGTTGCCGGGTCACAGCTCCTTTCATACTGGTCTACTATTTATTTACTATTTTAAAAATGCAAACTTTACTCCATATTTTAATGAATAAAATGCATTTCATGTGTTACTTGAAACATCTCAAAACAACTGAAAATATTTTAACACGAGTACAATCATAGATATATTTTAATTTACAGATGGAATTATTCATACCAGTTTGTCGTTTAATAGAGATTCCATTTTCAAAACGACTTTTTGTAATGAAAACACTGAGGTCATTTACCAGACCAAAAAGGTTCCACAAGCCTTTTTTTCGTCTCACTTTTGTGCTACGGATTTAATATCTATAAAATCTATTGTAACAAACAAAATGAGCAGTGCGCATCAGCTCCATCCAACGATGGCATCAATTAGGTATAATGCAGCTAAACAAAATCTTCAGCTTGATAACATAAGATGTTATACGGCGAAGCATAATTATTATAGATTAATAACGCGTTACAGAAAATCTGACCTGTGCATTATTTTCAAATATCATGGATATGGAAGAACAAACAGGTGTGTTGTGATCGTACAAACATATTAACTGACTTAGATCTATTGGTACGGCGATTATTGAATGAATTCCACCTACCTAGCTGGTTATCGATGACTTAAACACACAATAATTGAAGACTGAGAAACCACTACTATCGTATTTGGTAATTTTACTAAATAAAAACCCTTAAAAAATAATTAAGTTTCACTTTTTGTCGTAAAGATTAGTATGAAAAAGGTTATGATACGTCACGAACATCTGTTCCAGTATAGCAAACATCTATACAAGAGGGGCGCGGGGTGAGCGGGAATAGCGTAGGGGGCATGCGAGGGGAGTGGGGGGCAACACATAGCACACGCACCCGTCTCCGTCCCAGGGCGTAGCGCTGCCGCTTGAAGCGATCCATGGCGAGGTGGTGAGCCTTCGTCATAATATCCGCATGTCACAGTGTAGGTGATCACAAGTAGAACAATTCCACGACACTAACAATTCATTATTGTATGGTTTTTGGTTATAAAACGTCCGATGCGAGTACTGTGCGCGCGGGCACTCGCTGCGCGCTAAAAATACGGCGCGACTCCGGCTTGGCAGCGCGCGAGATGCGTTCAGCCACTTGTCGTTAGATATACATTGCTGACTACCCTACATTGATGCATTTTATTGTAAATATAAAAATATAAACATAAAAAAATACCAAAATTATAATCATTATCTCTACCTGTGCTTCATCCAACCATAGAATATGAAAAATGTTTTCGTTATCCATCTACAAGGATGATAATTATAGAATTATATGAAAAGAAATCACACAACAATATTTATATGATGGAAGTCGTTTGAACGTTTAGACAATACTGTTATAACTAAAGTAATAAAATTGAAATTAATATTTAATATAAAATACAACAAACAAAATAATCAATGTATTACAAACAATTCGATTATTACTATTCAAATAATAAACTTTCACGCTATCAGGGTATGGTTCATCAATGATCTATTTACTGTAATTATGATCCTTATTGGCTTCACAAAAGGTTCAAATTGCACAAATGAGGTTATGTCAAATATGATGGCAAAGCCAACGGTTCCGGCTAGGCCGACGCTGACATTGATCTGTCACACTCGGTTGCCAACTGCAGAACTATTGTCTAATTATTCATTAAGAAATTCACAAAAATTAACGTTTTTATTTGAATATTACTTTTTTCTATGTTTAAATTTGCAATTTTATTATTGCAAAGTTAGTTTTTTACTTTACTTGTAAAATCGAATTAACAATTTTTGAAATTCGTGTTTCTTTTTCAGCGCTTTAAAAAGCCCGCCATCTATGAGAAGTTAAGGAAACTACTAGCAAAGTTTGAAAAGTTTTCCAAAGAGTTTACGTTCGCTCCAATAGAGGGCACTATTACTTTTTAACTATACTAAAAAAATTGCAGCTCCCTTTTTTTTACTTTTTACCTCTAAAATGTATTTAGGATCAATTTTAACAATAGTAAGTAACTTTTCTTCAGAGCTAATGTACTAATTTAAAAATACCTAAGGTACTAAGTTTTGTAAATTAATAAGAGTTTTCGTATTTGAATTCAATAAAAAAATATATGTACTTAATTTTTCTTTTTGAATTATAAAACAATCCATGCATACTACCTACCTATAATCTATGGCCATTAATACAGCATGTTTACACTATTACG